GTCAAGCTTCATCCTGATAGAGGGGTCCGGCAAGGAGATCCGCTTTCGCCTTTGCTGTTCATAATGTCCCTAGATGAAGTTTTACACGGAGTCGCCACTTCGCCTTGGATATCACCGGCTGGCCCGATTGAGTACCTCGCTTACGCGGACGACGTGATCATCTTTGCTCAAGACCGCATTTCTCTGGGAGATCACCTTCAGCGATTCCATCAACGTCTGCAGTGCGTCGGCCTCAACATCAACCATCTAAAATCTTTCTCGGTATATATAATTGTTGATGGCGCTCGCAAACGAACCATACTGGATACAAATGCTTTGGACTGTGGTCCTATTTTTATTCCCTCCATTCAGCCCGATGAAAAGTTCAAGCTGTTGGGCCTGCCTTTTAACTGGAAGGGTAAGCTCCCTCTAACAGTAATCGACGATATTACTGTGCAACTTAACGAAGTTACCAAGGCACCGTTTAAACCACAACAACGACTTGAGATTCTGAGGACCTATCTGCTCCCCAAGCATGTTCATCAGTTAGCTCTGGCAGTGGTTCACCGGAATACATTGAAGCGGTTGGATCGCATTGTCAGATCACACGTCAGAAAATGGCTGCGCTTGCCGTCAGATACCTCCATCGCATGTCTTCATGCTCCCCTTGCGAGCTTTGGTTTGGGTATTCCGTGTCTGTCAACGAGTATTCCCCTGCTCCGGAAGGAGCGGCTGGAACGACACCTAGCCAACTGCCATCCAGTGACCAGTTGGGCGATCCGGGACTCTGCAGCCGCTGCCATCCATCGTCTAGCGCGCTCCACTGTTAATCGCGTCGTCATGGATAAAAGCTCAGCTGCGGAAGCCTGGAGAGATGCTTCTTTTGCTTCAGTGGATGGCTCTCCCTTGCGAAATGTGGTCACGTCACCTTCCGCTCACCACTGGCTGAGGGACCCCACCAGGATTTTTCCACGTCTTTTCCTACGGGTGTCCAACTACGGGGGGTGTACTTTCTACCAAAACGCGACGGAGCAGAGGCAGATCTACAAATGACCCGGCTTCTCTCAACTGCCGCGGGAGCTGTGGACAAAAAGAGACTCTGTCACATGTTCTTCAGGTGTGCTGCATCACGCATGATGTCCGCTGTAAACGTCACAATGAAATTGCCCAACAGATTGCCAGGTAATTGCGGCGCCAAAGCATTAATATTGTTATGGAGCCGAGGATTCCGACAGCCATCTCCTTCATCAAGCCAGACCTGCTTGCGGTTAGAAATTCTACGGTTCACATTGTGGACGTGGCCATCTGTGACGCGTACCGAATGGATTGTACTCATAAACTGAAAGTGGATAAATACGGATCAGGGGAGAATGCCGCAGCCATATCGCGATACATACGTGAACAGATTCCTGATATGACAAATATTGTTCACCACCCCGTCGTTATCAATAATCGAGGGATGATATGTTCCACCTCAGCCAAACATCTTACCGCACTCGGGATGACATCACTTGATATTTCTCACCTCTATGTTTCTACTCTTCGTCTGACTCTGAAGGTCTACGATAGCTACATGCGTGGTGCATCATCACGCCTTACATAACATGCACCCAATCCCACACGGTGACAATTGACGCGGTTCCGACCACTGTTTGAAGTTTTCTTTATTTCAACCAGTGTTTCCTATTCTGCTGGGACATTCGTCCTCTCATGGCATATTGCTGTACAGCTCATCCCTCGAGCCATGCATGCAAATGTCAAAAGTAAATGTTAATGGCATCAACTTGCTGAGTTGTATGGGCAAGCTGATTGCCCGAATCCTGCTCAACCGCCTCGTCAGTCAGTTTGTGGAAGCGAACGTGGCGGAAGAGCAGTGTGGATTCCGTTCGGGTCGCAACACTTTAGATATGGTGTTTGCGGCTCGTCAGTTGCAGCAGTAGAAGTGCAGAGAAAGACATCAGTCGTTGTACTCGTTTTTTGTTGATTTCACCAAGGCATTTGAAACGATGAACCTCGAGACATTGTGGCTGGTGTTAAGTAAGTTTGGATGACCGTTTAAGTTTGTAATTTTAATTGAATGTCTGCACAGTGGTATGCGGGCGAGGGTGCAGCTGAGTGGAGAGACCTCGGATGACTTTGCAGTTATCTCTGGTGTGAAGAAAGGCGGTGTCTTAGTTCCTGCCCTGTTTAATATTTATCCTCATGCAATCACGTGCTTTTGATGCGGATTGTGCTTACGATGTTCGTGTGGAGCACCGCATTGATAATGGGTTGCTGAACATCCGTCCTTTCGGTACGAGAACCCTAGTCTGTGAGACAACTATCCGTAGGTTGCTGTTTGCTGACGACTGTGCGTTGTTTGCACACAACGCGGATGAGTTGCAGCACACGACTAGTGCTCTGGCTTCGACAGCGACCAAATTCGGACACACCAACTACACAAGCAAAATTGTGTGTCTCTTTCAGCCTTCATCGGAGGTGCAATCTTCGATATTGCCGCGAATCAGCATTGGTGCTGAAGTATTGGAAACCACCTCCCGCTTCTGCTACCTTGGGTGTGTGATGTCGACTGACCAGCAGCTACACAGTGAGCTTCGTATCCGCATCTCGAAGGCAGCGGCGGCATTCGGAAGCTAGAGTGCCGAGTGTGGAACAACCATCAGCTTAGCATTGGCACGAAGCTGATGGTGTACAAATCCATGGTGTTGTCCGTTCTTCTGTACGGCAGTGAAACGTGGACGATGTACCTGCGGAATGCGCGATATCTCGAACGGTTCCATCAACAGTGTTTGCGACAAATTTCGCGCATCAGTTGGAGCGACAGAGTTGCTGACACTTGAGGTGGCTCGGTCATGTGAGCAGTATGGATTCGATGCGGATACCGAAACAACGATTATATGGTCAGCTGAATATTGGGAAGCGGCATGTGGGGAAAGCGCAGCTTGGTTGCCAAAACATAATCCAAGTGAGTCTTCCACGTTCTAATCTTGATTGCAGATCATGGGAATGGAAGGCGGTTGATCGGCGTGCATGACGCGATCTGATCACGAAGGCAGTTGCCCAAGTGCAGGAGAAAGACCTCATGGATGCGGAGAAGAGGTGGCAAAGGCGGAAGCGGCAGGCGCCGATGGGTTGTACACTATCGACATCGAGCGCATGGTGCCGTATCACATGCGGTTGCGGGTGCCTGAGTCAGGCAGACCTAGTGAGCCGTGAGCGAGGCCACTCGGGACCACCACCGAAGCGACAACGGGTCCTGCTGAGAACGTAGGCAGAACCGGCGAAGTGTTTATATGCACGCTGCATTCTATTCACTATCCGTGTGCTTTCATGCTTGGTTTTCTTATTTCTGTTTGTGGTATTTTTAGTTTTATCCTAATGGTTTTCTCTCTTATTATAGTCTACTTGTACTATCTCTTATTTACTCGCACGCGTTGCTGAAATTAATTGTAGTTATTGTCGATAGCGTTTTCGCGTTTGTGGCGTTTTCTTAAAATATGTTTTCTGACCTCTTGAACTCATCGCGGATTTGTTCGTAATTATTTTTATACACGCATTTAATGAAGTGTTATATCTTCGTACTGTATTCATTATCCGTTTTATTTTATTTCCTCTTGTCGTTCCAAGTGATTGGCTATCTCTTGATATCCCCGGTGCGGCTGCGCTTGATGTGGATGTTGACAAGGTGCCTACCAGTCTATTACCCACTATCTCGTCCATACTGGCTTTAGGAGACAGTTGGTCATTGCTGGAGGGGACGGGGTGCACGGTCCTTGTGGCCGTGTTAGGATCAAAGAGTGGTTCCATGCAGTGAGTGTGGAGCGGACTACGGTCCAGCCACCGCCTTGTGTGCGCTTGATTCCCCAAATACTGCGTGCTTGTGTTTGCTTGTGAAGGAGTGTGGCCCGGCTCCGTCGATGAAACGTGGTTCCCATCCACATGCCTCCCGGTCTTATTCCTTCGGGTTTACACTGGATATGGGGTGTGTGGTTGGAGCTGTGGGTGGTGCAGCGCAAGCCACCCATGGTACCTCTGTAGGCGCAGGCGTCCTGTGGCTGGCCACAGTGACAGGCAAATCCGAAACCGGATGCCGCCAACCATTATATATATATATATATATATATATATATATATATATATATATGTGGGTATGTGGGTGAAATGCGGCCCAGCATAGCTGGTTGATGATAACACACAAAGGAAATGCGCATGGGTTTTACATGGCTGCTGTGGAAGAACAAACGTAATTTCTTTTTCGTTGATTCTTGAACCATTAATATCGTTTCACAAGTTTTCCCATATGGCAGCAGTTGCTATTTGTTCCGATACGTTTAACCAGAGTGTTGTGATAAGCAATCAAATTTCAATGTGGTTGTGGAGGTGGGTGATAATATGCACGTGGACAGTATGATTACAAAATTCATAAGTTTAATATATGACAATTATTTTTATTTGGTGGTAGTGTACGAGCAGACAAGATAGCACTTTAACGTTAACCAGTTAAACTGTGTAAGTGTGTTTCGCCCTACCGCTGGGAGAGCCGGAGCCCAGTCCTTGTGCGCAGTGTAACCACAATATTAAATTTTTCTGTACTGGTTCACTCCCATAAAACTGACCGAATTGGGTTTTTCGTATTCATCTTTTTCACTCTGGTTAAATGTGATTTATTGCAGCCGTTTGTGTTTATTTATTGAAATTCGTTTCCTACTTCCAGTTGGTCCCCACCAGTTTTATGTTAGCACTCGTCAACGTGTGTGTGTGTGTGTGTGTGTGTGTGTGTGTGGACTCCATGGTATTCGGTTATCCCTGCCGGAACGAGTTCTCCAATCTCAGATCTTTTAGGATACCCAACTTGGCTCTATGTCTAGTTACTAGACTGTTGAGATTACATACATACATACAGGATACCCAAAGAGTTCCCTTTCTCTCCTACATAAACTATGACTGTTCTCATTAGCCAGGCAGCATCACTTTTTCTACCTGTTCACCCATCAGCTTTATACTGTCGATCTTTCCTTCAGCTTTAGAGGAACCAGGTTCTGACCTATCAATAGCTGCCAGGGAAGCTATCCAGAAGGTGAGTATTCAGTTTTCATCATTATTTCCTTTTTTATTTTCTCACTATTTTCATGACAGTTTTCACAGTTATTCTCCATTGACATGTGGTTCTGCATTCTTTACAGCAGGCGCATAAAAATCCCGAGCCTCTTCGGGTCACTCAGCTACCTTGCAACAATTCGTCAGACAGAGTGTGCGGGTCAATTTTTGTGCTGTGCCATGTGTTGCGTTCCTATGGCAAAGCCCCTTTTAAGCGGGAAGAACCGTGCGTAGTTTGATGATATTCTCACCAATTCCTTCGGCTTTACCTGTACAGTGATATCCTGTTAAAAAATTTCTTCTCGAATGCTAACAGCTGCTGGAAGCTTTGGTTGTTAAGCATAGATCTCGGCTGCATCTTAGTAGTTTATTTCAGGTACAGTGCATAGGCGTTAGCGTTATTTTCGTCCAATTGCACAAAGCTGGCTTCATGTCCTGTAGAGAGTTTGCTAATCACATCTTTTCGTCAGTGTCCTCAACGTCTTCCTACTTACGGACTACTTATCGTGATACGGTTTATCTGAAGGGTGTCTTTAATGCTACTTGGAACGATATTTCCATTTGAATGGTGTATCTGATAAATTTTCCTCTGTTCTAACATCTGTACCACAGCTCCCATGGCCCTGCAAAGGACTACGGGAAGCTCTCATTTGGGTTTATTGCAGTAAGCGGAGTGCATCAAGCCTCCCACGCTTTTTCGTTCCTTTTCACTTTCGTCACTAAACTGATCATTATACTCAATGTTGGACACACTGTCTGTCCTGTGGTCACGCTATGTCAACTTTCTTGTCCGTTTTGGAGCTATTGCACACTTGCCAGCATAGATTCATTCGGCCAGGTCTGACGACCTCTTCCCAGGTTCTTCGGATCCACTCACTATGGATTAACATCTCTCATCTGTCTTCAATCTTCTGTTTTCTCTACTGAAACCAACGTGCATAACTTCATCGACTTTGAACCTTAGGTCAAGAATCGTTGGCTCATCTGGAAGCCTATATTATTGGCCGTTTGCCAGGCTTAAAGCCAATCCCGTCGATGACTACATAAGATGGATCCATGGAAGTTTAACTCCACATTACTATTGTTACTGGCCGAGAAGTGATTACACGGCGATTCGCTAGCGTCTCAACTGCGCCCCTCTTTCATCTGGACACGATCTGTCGATTACACGTCATTCCCTTTGTTTGGCTGGAATTATGAATCCCTGGACTGTAAGTGTGTGTACCGAAATTCTCGGTGTGACTTGACCTCACGACCGACCTAGACACCGAGAACTCACTTAGCTATGAGTAGCTTGCACCATTTGGCGGGATTCCAGCAACGGAGCGCAGCGGCCATAAATTGAACACGGTGCACCTTTCGCATTTCATTCTATTGGGATTTTTATTATTTTTTCCTCGTTTAAAATGCCTCTCCTTAGTGGCACCTCTCACATCTTGCTTTTTCTTTCTTGCACGATTTAGTCTATCCCGAGTTCTTAATTCCTGCCTCTTCATTAAACATCTTTAAAAAGTGCTCACTCCTAGACCTGTAACCAACTAACGGCGACCAAATTGAAAGAACCCTCTACCTCGTCATCTGGTGCTATTCTAGAAACGCATATGGAAACAAAACTAATCAGATTGGAAATAAGTGATAGGAAACTAACATTTTCGACCCTCCATTTGCATACGTAATTTTCTAACCTCAGAAAAGCTATTTCTCTGGTAATGAAAGTAGCCGCAGAAGCCTATCAAAACTTTTGCAATGGGAAAGCTTATTTTGTTTGGCATTCCATATCATTTTCCGATGGACAGACTCCGACATTCCTTCTTCAGCATATGGAGAGTGAGCCATTTACAATGTTCCGTCCATCTTTTGCGAAATAGATCACATGCGGAGCTGCCCCACGTTAGACTTAAAAATTCTGAAACCACGGAAATTTCATTCAGACTCGGCAGATCATCTCCTCGACAAGGGGAGTTCTATCAGTCGTCATTAGATGCGATCTCGTGTCATTGGACATGGTCGTTCCATCTTCGGGAGTACTATCCAAATACTCTTCGTCTGCTGCACACAAAAGCTGAATCCCCACTCAGCGCATCTCATCCAACCTATGCCAAGACACTTTTGATCCTGGTCTGTCTACCAACGCTGTCACGTGCTCTCCATCACAGCAAATAGCGGAGCTCGTAAACGGCAATCAAGCTGAGAAAAATCATCTAAGTATCCACAGTTTGTTGTATGGAGCTGTTGTCGACTCATCTGTGGGAAATAACCTGATAAGAAGATGTAACTCACGCTATAATCGGCTCATACCGCAGTTGCGCATGTAAGTTATGTCAGTCTCAGAGTGCTTGACTAACTCCTTATCAGTCCGCAAGCGCGTTTCTAGCCAGCAGGAAGCAGTTTGATCTACGACACAGCGCTGGAATATGATACCATCTGGTGACGCTATGCCGAACAATTCACAATCTACTACAGTTTCATCAACCGAACATTTATATCCATAGATGCTAAATGACTTGGTTACTCTTAAGGTACTCAAGAATTCCGCAACCTAAGAAATATGAGAAACACATGAAAGATGTAGCGCTCACTGCTCGTCTGCACTCTGTCACAAGGGTCCGCCCCTGCTCACAGAAATGCCGATAGCCAATTACATTCTGTCTTTTCGGGTCCTACAGATGTGATAATGTTGAAAGATCGGCTTATTTACTTGCAACGTTGGCTTACACATTTAGATTCTCAGTTCCGACACTTGAAATCGCAGCACTCGTGCCGCTCAATGGAACGGATTCGCATATCGGTAGCTGGCAAATTGGCTACTATTACAAAACCACCGAGACAAATTGCAACCTGCCACACACACGGTTAGTCTGCATAATTCCTAAGGGTCTTCCCCCACTTTGTTCTTCCCCTTTTGACTTCCCATCCTATACCCTAATATTTGAGCTACTCACCATGTTTGATGTTCCCACCTTCTTCCCCACTCCACCGGTATCAATCCATGCGGTTCCCTTAGAACACACTGTAGATGGCATTCCCAACAAGAAAATGTTTTGTGCCATGTGTTTTGATGCCAAGTCTATTACAAGCAAGTTGCTTTTTTACGTGAAACCGTTTCATCACTACCTACTGAACAAATTCCCCCCACTAAATCTTGATGCGCAATCGGTGTCACAGATTTCCTCCTATATATTATTGACTATCATGTGTTCAAGCCAACAGTCAACAGTCAACAATGCGCTTTATGCACCCATGAACAGTGAGTATTCAGCTACAACACACACACACGCTAAGGGCACAAATAAAATTAAATAAAAATATGACAAATGTATATGGTGCGCTACCAGTTTAAAAATGGGGCAGTGGCGATATCATCGATTCAGTCTGGTTATAAGATCTTGATCACTTAGAAAACGTGACAAGTATGTAACAAATGACATACAGTAAACCCGTGTGCGGGCATAAATGGCTTTGTACGTTTGTCTGGTCAGTGAAGTCGAAATACATTCCGACGATGGAGAGGTTGACTGGCATCCGTGCGTCGCTTGGACGCTAAATTTTCGTAGGATCGCACATGACTAGACACACTGAGGTCACTTAACACTAACTAAAATTCCGCTGCATCGGGCAAGATGCTTACATTGAATTGCACCTTTAACAGTCAAGGAAATATCACAGGTGAACAATACGTCCAATGCAGTATTAGGCAAGCGGCGACAAACCGTAATATCAAGTAACGGGGCACGAATGAAGACCTAAGTCTGGAGACGTAGCATGTTAGTCTCCTGACTTTAATGAACGTTTAATTCATGTAATGGAACGACGTGAGATCCCGATGTAGTACAACTACTAGATATTTCACTAATGTTCAGTTAAGTCTGACACTGTAAACAGTAAGATGTGGGGTGTGCGTGAGAAGTTTATGATAACAATTTTCCTTGAACAGGGAGAAAAAACATCTTTACACTTGGGTTCGTTGAGTGAAGGACAGCGGGATTTGGACCACGAGATGAAGTTGTCCAAGAAGCATTGCAATTTGGCCGATGAATCTATGGTGTGCTTGTGTACACCACGGATGACATCATCAGCATACTTTAGTAGGATGGCTTGCTTTGGAGCGAGAATGGAGTTAATCCAGATGGAAAATAGGAATGGGGACAAAATAACTCCCTGAAGAACACCGGAATTTGTGGTGAGTGAGGAAGAGTTTTTCCATCCAATCTTGGCAACCTGCGTACGATTGGCAAAGTGGTTCGTAAGAAAAAGTACTAATGAAGATTGAACTCCGGAAACGAGCAGTTCGCGGAATAGCAGCTCGCGGTTTACACAACCGAAAGCGTTGTTGTAATCGAGGAAGCAGATCCGCCTGACTTTGTTTTTTCTATCGAGTGATGGAAGCACGGTGTGTACAAGACAGACTAATGCATCCAAAGTAGGCCTTGAACTGCGATAGGCAAAATGGAAAGGATCATTTAAGTGGGTTTGGACAAGCATTCTTTCAAGTATGATTCATTCTAATGTCTTTACAGCCACAGATGTATAGGCAATTGGCCAGTACTTACAGGTTCGTTTTTTGGTACAGGTGTAATGCGAGCGCTTCGCCAGCAGTCGGCTATCTTATGCTGATGTAGGCACATGGTGTATAGTTCAGAAAAAAAGTTGTGCCAACATTAGTACTTTCCTTGAGGAGTATAGGAGACAGTTCGTCGAGACCGGGCGCTTTGCACAGCTGTATCTCTGTTAATTTCTTGTGGACTGTTATGCTATCTATGTGTGGTGAAGTTTGTGGGGGAAAATTGCAACCGTAAAATGGTAAGTGCAATGCTGAATCCTTTAGTTGACCACAGAAGTTGCGGTTTATTTCCTCCACATCGAGAGCAGTGTGTGTGACCCTCATGACGACTCCACTCAGGTACTTCGTCATTTCCCATAGTTCTCGTCCATTATTATCTTCAAGTATAGTTTGGACATACTTATGGTTGAGGCGACCCATTTCATTTTTTATGTCAGTCCATAAGAACTTTACTGAAGCGGTGTCTTTACGCTTGCAGACTTTTCTTTGACTCTGCGCAGTCTCTTAAGGCACGGAGATCAAAACCTATTTGTGCGAATGAACATAGTTTCCGTAGGACAATAAATATGGAAGAAAAAGTTCAGATAGTTGGTTAAATAATCACATTACTTCGATACATCCGGTGTAAAAATTATTGAAGTCTGCAGAGGCAACAGTCTCGCGTAGTAGCTCAATGTTTCGAGGAAGACATTGTCTCGGCGTTAACTTGCGATCTTTACACCGACTAGTATTTTTGTAATTCGTTTTGCCATAGATTATGGGAGACAACTTTAAGGTGTCATGATCTGAGCTTCCAGGCGGTGTCTTGGTACAATCAGAAAATGTTTTTAAGCCATTGACAAGCACTAAGGTTGCTTGTAATTTTGTTGCAGACTGCATGATGTTCTTCAGTCCAAGTTTGGTACTAAAACTAGTATCGAATCTATTGAAGTCACTGGCAAAACACAGAACAAAATCTGGATGTTCAATGGCGAGAGTTGTAAAATCGTCATAAAAGTTTTTAGCCTTCGGGTATAGGGCAGCAGCGAGAAATATGAATATTGGTTACTAGAATCAAACGATAGCCACTCAAGTATCGAGGCTTGCATTGCACAAGTAAACTAGCTATAATGCGCTGCGCGTAACCACGAAAAATTATTTTTGTCGACTTACACCATGAAGGATTTATGTATGTGATAACGCCACCACCGCGATGCCTGTGTGTACCTGTGCGGTCAACGCGATGCACAGTAAATCCATCAAGTGCCACAAGTGTTTCTTCTACGTCTTTGTGCAGCCATGTTTCTTGTAGCATTATGACACCAAGTTGGGAGTATTCGCGACAGCTTGTTATGAGTTAAAGCTCTTTCAATTTGCTCACAAGCGAACGGATGTTGGCTGTACCCACGGACGTCGCGGCTTTTTGGATCAACATGTGCTGGATACTACTTTTGCCTCAGCTTACTGTGTTAGCAGCGTTTTATCTGTGCGAGTTGTGCACCATTATTTTTCTTTTGGCGTATTTTCCAAGCGGTGCAAATTTGGTGGCTATTCTTTGGCTAATTCCGTAGATCTCATTAATTTGCCATACTGCCATCTTGAATTTACTCTAGCTTGTGATGCCGTCTCAAGCTACTTGTGGTTCGTGTTCGAAAGTTGTGGGAAATAAGGCTCATGCACTTCGATGCTTCAGCTGTGATGTTTTGTTCCATATTCCGTGCATTGGTTTATCCGTTGACGTGTTTCGAAAATCGCTCGACATCCAACATCGGTTCTTTCAAGTTATATGTGATAAATGTCGCGGTACAAGACATCAGAATACGCAGCGACCGCAAACAACTACGGGAAAATTTCTCTTTCAGATAGAAACAAACCGTTCACCACGTGGGATCAAACGCCCTCGTGAAAGTACCTCTGACTCCTCGCCTTCTGTTGTCACTCCGCGATCTGCACCACCACCAGCGTCCTCGACCCCGGCCGAACCCCAGGTTCAATGTTTCCCACCGATGGAAGACTCAGACTCAGAAGCTACGAAATGCCGCTTCACTGATCGGTCCGTGAATTTCTCAGAGCCTGCCTGTGAACTTCTGAACACCGAGGATCCATGGACCACTCAAAAGCGCAAGGGCCCACGTACTCGAGTTCAGACGTCATCTGCTGATAAACAACAACCCAATCAGTTAAGCGCCTCTAGTTCTGCTCCCACAGGTTCATCACTGTTATAAGCGTTCATCTCATTGTCTCCAACGATCACTTCTTCCTTCCGAAATGAAGACGAACTGATAAGCCATCGAATTACTTTTGTTGTCAAGTTAACCTGGTTTTTCCAGTTCAGCATTCTGCAATGTTCTCATCTTAGTCTAAAACCTGACCAGCAATGGTTTGCGAGGACATGCGTCAAACCGACAAGTAGTGAAGCATATTTGAATGGTGGATGCTACCAAACCCACAATGCGACCCGCAATCTCAATGTGGAACATGATTCGCACAGATTTGAAGCAGACAAGTAAATGCGAATCGTTAGGTATAGCATGTGAAGCACCGCCAATTACCAATGAATATCTTGCGAGCATCTACTATGCCGAAATTCTTCTGTCAAAAGGGGCAGGGCCTACACAAATCAAACTCTGTACCGCCTCCTAAATATTTGTGAATAAGGAATTGAAATGCACCACAAGTGCCGACGCATGGTCCCTCCTGGAAGTCAGGGACTGCCCGGCTGAACCCTTTAACATTGCTCCGTCATCTGTACTCCTCAAGTGCAGCGTCACTTAATGAATGATCCTCTTGTGGGTCGTCTTCGTTGTGGCTGGGATTTTTGAACACTGGTGCTGTTGCGTGAAATCAGCCATGATTATGACACCACGTAATCGGCGGCAGAACCCATCGGACTGTATTTATTCCTTAGTACACGTCAATGTCTAATGAAATAAAATATACTTGTCGAACCATTTTAGTTTCATTAGTGCAACCATCTGATAATTGAGGGTTACGGATCTTGCGCACAATCGTTTTCCATACTCCTTTAGGATTGCCTATATTGCTTCAATAGATGAATCTTGCTGTAGTGACCAGTCCACTTGATTTGTAGCTCAGGTAAGTTCATGGAAGCCAGTTTACAGTATTCCTAGGATGACTGCTATGGAAGCGAGTGTGACAGCAGCAGCTTTCGCCAAGCTAGGGCCACTGGATGTTCACTTGGTATTACTGGATTCATGCCTCACACTCCACGACAAGTTGTTAGCAGCTCGTCAACTTCAAATTCATACATGAGGGATCTGATTGCGGTTTGGTGCGAGTCCACCAGCATACGTGTAGTGCTGCCCCAATCTCAGATATCATCTCCGCACTCTCTGCTTCCAGATCACTAGGCCTGTAGGGAATTTGAACCCTTGTTCTATTTCTTTGACGTGTCAAAAGGACGTATGAGCTGAAAGCCATTACGGTTCATTTTGTCTTGGGTATTTTGCAACTAGTGCAAACGGCAGCTTCACATAAAACAGTAAATCTCACCCACCCACATTTCGCCAACACTCAGGTGGATCGAGCTTTAGGGCACACGTAGAACATCCGCATTTCTTTTGGTAGCAGCAGTCTAACGAAATAGGAAAACAAATCTATACCAGCACGTCACCATGATCTGTTGTTGTTCTGTCGTTGTGGGAGTACGATTAGCCGCTCAGCTGTACATCCCGTGGAATTATATCGGAAGTTAAAAGAGTCCCAGAGAGTCCCACCGGCCACCGGAAATCAACTAATGGGCAATACTTTTACGCTTGTTAAGTCATTCGCAACTACTGAATGTGTCATGACCGTGGAACAAACGGTTGAACGTGAATCCTCAGTGATCTATTTACACAGTTTCCATAGATACTTAAAATACCAAAAATTCTAGTAGGATGGCATATTAAGGTTTTCCAAATTGGCCGGATACGTATCTGGGCGATAAGAAATATTTAAACATTCAAGTCTGCCAAGGCGGGGAACTCAAGTCAAGTCAATAAAATGCTTAATACACCAACAACGCTTGAATATTCAGCCGTAAACAGACTGGCTTAATCAAATAAATGCATCGTACGCGCTGGATTCTTCCATCACCTTTCTTTCTAAAATGGGTGATTAGATTTGACCTAAACGCTTCTTCATCTACTTTAGGATTCTTTTACCATACCAATACTGTAAAATTCCTTCTCGTGCTCATTGCGAAACTGATTTTGATTTAATTCTCCAAGCTGATGGAATAAAATGAGATTTGATAAAATCTGTTCAAAAGGCACTGCACTCAGCTTTCTTTTTATTTCTGTATTCTGCTGGAATTAACTCCTTAGGCGGCCGCGCACTTGCAAATAGATCCGATGAGCCTCCAGTAGCTGGTAGACATTGTTCCGGACTCATTTATGCAGAAGTAGCATCTCATATTTTCACCGCCTAATTGTTACGAATTCTTATTTTGCTAAGGTGGTTTATGTGAAGGTAACATTCAGTCTACAACAGCGTTGTCACTAACCCTTTCATCATTTGCTGGGATAACATTAAGCAACTGTCGAAGCGCCACCAACATTTGAACACAGTAGCCAGTGCATTATGCACTGCTGTCGAGATGTTGCAAACCACCAGCCAAAAAGGTCGGCATCGACCCAATCTGAGCTGGCCTTTGTCGGAATCGACGAGGGTCATTAACATATTTCAAGGACACATGCACCGCAATGCGTCCTCACGTCGTATTCACACCCCCAGACATGCGTGGATGAGTAAATAC